GTCTAAATACAGGATTATTTACAAAGGCATTCATATTGCCTTTGCAATAATATTCAGATATAAATGACTTGAATCAGACCTGGAATTGAGAAGAAACACTGTAAAAGAAGAGAAATCAGAGAAACATCACATTTACAGTTGCCACAAACAACATAAAATACCTTGGGGTAACACTAACCAAAAAAGTGAAAGACTTGTACCATAAGAATTTTGATTCTCTAAAGAAAGAAATTAAAGAAGATACCAGAAAATGGCAAGATCTCCCATGCTCTTGGATAGGTAGGATCAACATAGTAAAAATGGCAATCTTGCCAAAAGCAATCTATAGATTCCACGCAATCCCCATCAAAATCCCAACACAATTCTTCACAGACCTTGAAAGAACAATTCTCAACTTTATATGGAAAAACAAAAGACCAGGATAGCCAAAACAACCCTGTACAATAAAGGAGCTTCTGGAGGCATCACCATCCCTGACTTCAAACTCTATTACAGAGATATAGTCCTGAAAACAGCTTGGTATTGGCACAAAAATAGACAGGTAGACCAATGGAATAGAGTTGAAAACCCTGATATTAGCCTACAAACCTATGAACACCTCATTTTTGACAAACAAGCTAAATTTATATGATGGAATAAAGAGGGCAGCTTCAACAAATGGTGCTGGCATAACTGGATGCAGGCATTTAGAAGACTGCAGATAGATTCAAGTCTATCGCCATGCACAAAACTTAAGTCCAAATGGATCAAAGACCTCAACATAAATCCAGCCACACTGAACCTATTAGAAGATAAAGTGGGAAATACCCTTGAATTAATTGGTACAGGAGACTGCTTCCTGAACATTACACCAGTAGCACAGGCACTGAGATCAACAATTTATAAATGGGACCTCCTGAAACTTAGAAGCTTCTGTAAGGCAAAGGAGACAGTCAACAAGACAAAACGGCAGTCCACAGACTGCAGAAAGATATCCACCAACTCCACATCTGACAGTGGGCTGATCTCCAAAATATACAAAGAATTCAAGAAGCTAGTCTCCAAAACACCAAACAATCCAATTAAAAAGTGGGGTACAGAACTAAATAGACAATTCTCAATAGAG